TGCATTTTCCTGTTACTTCTCTTCAAAAATAAATTCATCTTTATTGTGAAAGTATTACAGATATCCCCCTTTATTCTCTTAACTCCCCCAAGCCCCTCTTTTCTTTAATTCATGTCATTCCGTAAGTACTTACCCACAACCACAAAGTTCAGGTTATTGATTCAGACGAAGGCGTTGTAATATTTGCAGTTTTTTTAATTGAAACTGTTTAAACTGTGTTTCTTTTCAAATGATCGAAAAGCCAGTGAAGAATATCTAGAGATGAAAAACTCCAGGGTAGGGGAACACATCTCGGAATCCACAGGAGCGGGATATAAATGCTAATTACACATTGACTTGAATTCCTGATTTGTCATAACTCCTGCAGGTTGTGTCTTGGCTGTGGGCTATTCTCAGGGCCTCATTTGTATTGGAGATTTTCTTTAATATGATGCCTCCCCAATGAGCTCTTTAATCTCGTACTTATTTTCAATTCTTTTTCTCTAGATATAGGAAAGAATTAATTAGCAGGTAAATGTAGCTCTTGGTTCTTTTGGTTATTGAAGATTAAAGCCTTTTTTCCCCCCTCTCCCCATTGATCTCCATGAGGGGCATTTTTGGGATGGTATGTCTTCTGGCCTTTTGGATTGGAAGATGAGATGCTCAGTGTTCATTTTTTGTAATCATCACCCCCCACCATCATTACCACTACCACTCCAGTGTCCTTCTTGATGAGTAGGCATTCCTTCTGGGTAGAGAGCTAATGTGACTTTGTGCAGTGCATTTGGCACTGAAGAGCTGCTCTCCCCCACTGTCTGCTAAGGAAGAGACTTGGCATTGGTAGGTACAAGGTAACCTTGAAATTCACTTAGTTTATTTATAAGCAGGGATGAATTTGTTTCCCACGGTAATAGAATTGAGGGCTTGACCTTAATAGGTGGATTGAGTGAAAGGATATGTGGACCTCTTTCCTCAGCTCCACATATTTTTTGACTTGCCACCAAATGCCCTCCCAATTAAACCATACATGTGCCTATGCCCTTTTTAAAAAACATATAGTTTTATTGATTTCAGAGAGAAAGGGAGAGGAAAAGAGAGTTAGAAACGTAGACCCCCTTACTGGGGAATCGACCCCACAACCCGGGCATGTTCCCTGTACCGGAATTGAACTCGAGACCCTTCAGTTGACAGGCCAGTGCTCTATCTACTGAGCCAAAGTAGTTACGCCCTTTGAAAATGTGGCCTGACTTACTTTATATTCCATGGTACGGGTACCCTTGAGTTAGCTCTGTACACTGCTGATTTCCTGTGTGATTTTGTCTTAACTCCAGCAGAGACCCAAGTGCACTCTGACCCGCTTCCTATTTCTGTAACTTGGTTTTAGGGCCTTGCCAGAGGACAGTCAGTTGTATCAACGTAGACAGCATAGTAAAGACCTTCTTCCCCTCTGCAGGATGTGAGTCAGCCATACTCCTCTGTGTGTGGACCTCCTGTTCCTTGCCCTGTCTTGGGCCTGTACTAACCCTGGTTAGCTGCACACGTGGAAACTACTGAAACCTCTTCATTGGAGGTATAAGTTGTTCATCCTCACTCCAACCCAGCCTGATCATGTTTCTCACATACTCTCCCCAGTTCCTTAGCTTTAGAAAAGTGGGTGAGACTGAGCAATAATTTCAGTGCAGACACCTGACTGTAGGTGTCATCTTTATATTTTCTTTTCTGTGTTGCTGTATTATGATAATACTTTTTACCCTTAGCTCTTAATTGGCTTTCTCTCTGGCATGGCTCCTTGTTGCTTTATTATTTTTTTTATTTTATTTTAATATATTTTATTGATTTTTTTTTGCCCCCCTCCCTCCCATACATACCCTCCCTCTCCAGAGTTTTATGTCCATTGGTTGTACTTTCCTTGTTGCTTTAGAAATGTGACTAGATGGAATGCTCAAGAGCGTGATCTGACAGCCGGAGTTGTGAGGCAGCTGCCCTTTTAAAAATTTCATATTCATTTTAAAATGAGTTTTTGAAGAACAGACAGTTTGAAAGGATTTTAATGGTGTTCACCAGCAGCGTGGCTGAACTTGATGCTAGTGCTGTAGGCTAACTTTAACCTGATCAGTGGGAACTAAAGACATGTTTAGAAAATGGAATTTTGGACTTTCAAGCTATGGCTTCAGGCTGCTTGATCCAACGTGACTCTTCCGTACAGGTATGAGACTTGGTCATGACCCAAGGCAAGCATATACCTTTATTATAAAACAAAACCCTGTGTGTTTGCTAAGGGATGTCACATACTTGTTTCTTTTGACACATAAACATGTTTACCTCAAAAGATTCCACAGAGATAAAAGCATTGCTCAGTATGTCCATAATCCATATCTACACTAATAAAAGAGAAACATGCAAATTAATCATCACTCCGCTATGCCAAGCCATACTCACCAGCCAATCAGGAGCAAATATGCAAATTAATCCAACCAAGATGGCACCTGGCCACGGAGCTGGAGCAAGCAGGAGGCATGTGTTGCCCCAGTGATGGAGGAAGCTAAGCTCCTCGCCCACCCTGGCTGGCCCTGGCCTCTGCTCAAGGCTACAAAATTTCAATTATAGAAGATAAACCAATCCTAGATACTTGCTTCCAGCTGGCCCTGGCCACTGCTCAAGGAGGTGCTGGAAAAAAATAAGAGGAAAAAGATAAAAAGGAGGGGCTGGGACCTTGGGTTTCCGAGGGGTGATCAAGCCAAGGATGGGAGGGCAGGGGCCATTGGGGGTAAGCAGAGCAACAGGGGGGCCAGTTGGGGTGAGCAGGTCAGTGGGGAGGGGAGATGTGGTGAGCAGGACAGCAGGGCGGGGCAGTTGTTGGTGAGCAGGCCGGCGGTGGAGGGCAGTTGGGGGTGAGCAGGCCGGCAGGCAGAGTGGTTACGAGCAATCAGGCAGGCAGGCTGGCAGGTGAGCATCTGGAGCCAGCAGTCCTGGATTGTGAGAGGGATGTCTGACTGCCAGTTTAGGCCCAATGCCTGTAAACCAGCAGTAGGACATCCTTCAAGGGGGTCCCAGATTGGAGAGGGTGCAAGTCTGTCTGAGGAACAAATCCCCCGCGCATGAATTTTGTGCACCGAGCCACTATTATTTAATATATACTGGGGTTAGGCAGCTTTCCTATTTTAGGCTACTAACTTCCTAAACTAGATACATACGCTTTTTTTTTTTTTTAAAAAAAAAAGTATTTTATTAATATTTCATAGAGAGGAGGAAGGGAGAGATATAGAAAACTAGAAACGTCAATGAGAGAGAAACATCGACCAGCTGCCTCTTGCACACTCGCTACCGGAGATGTGCCCACAACCAATGTACATGCCCTTGACTGGAATCGAACCTAGGACCTTTCAGTCCACAGACCAACGCTCTACCATTGAGCCAAACTAGCTTCGGCAGATACATACCCTTTTTAAACTCAGAATATAAAGGTTCTTCAGGTCCATTCTGTCCTTGTTTTGAAAACTTCCTAACTCCAACTCTGTTGGTATTGGGTGTAGTTAGCTGTGTTGTTTAGATTCACATACTCTGAGACCAGTTCCCAGCATCTTTGGGATTGTCTTTTTGTTTGTTCTTGGTATTCTTCACTTGGTCCTTGAGAATTTATGGTAGACTGAAATTGTGCGGAACTTTTCTATAGAAGCATTTTTAAAAAACTGGTTCAGAGAAATCTGAAGGTTAAAGAACTCTGTTACCATAATATGTAGGAGTTCTGTGAGCCACTGTGAACCTCTGCTCTGTCAAGTGTGATTTCTGTGGGGCCTTACATGTACAGCCATTTGTGTATCTCTTTCTCTTCTCTCTCTCTCTCTCTCTCTCTCTCTCTCTCTCTCTCTCTCTCTCTCTCTCTCTCTCTCTCTCTCTCTCTTTTGTTTCAGTCGCCTTAAAAAAACAAGAACAAAAAACCAAAACCACAGCAACTATATTTTTTAGAGCAGGTTTAGGTTCATGGCAAAGTTGAGCAGAAAGTACAAAGTTCTGATACCCCCTCTCCCCCCACTTCTCTCACAGCCCCCCACCAGAGTGGTACATTTGTTATAATTGAGGGACCTGTAGCTTATATTAGGGTTCACTCTCAGTGATGTGCTTTCTGTGGGGTTGGGCAAGTGTGTAATGACATATATCCATCATTATAGGAGCTTACAGAGTAATTTCACTGCTGACAAAGTCCTCTGCTGTGCTTGTTCATCCCTCTCTTGTCCTAGCCCCTGGCGGCAACTGATCTTTTTACTTTCTTCATAGTTTTGCCTTTTCCAGAATGTCATAGTTGGAATTAAACAGTATGCAGCTTTTTGATTGGCTTATTTCTCTTATGTATTTCCTGTGTCTTTTCATGGCTTGATAGCTCATTTCTTTTTAGAGCTGCATAACATTTCTTTGACTTCGTGAACCATAGTTTATTTATCCATCCAGCTGTTGAAATACATGTTGGTTGCTTCAGAGTTTTGGCATTTAATATATAAAGCTGCTACAAACATCTATATGTAGGTTTTTGTGAAGATATAAGTTTTCAGCTGTTGATACGTATGGTAAAAGTATGTTTAGTTTTGTATGAAACTGCCAAACTGTGTCTCAAAGTGGCTGTACTATTTTGCATTCTCACTTGCAATGAATGAGAATTCCTGTTCCACTGCCTCACCAGCATAGGTGTGTAATTGTATTAATTTGCATTTCCCCAGTGACATACAGTGTGGAGCATCTTGCATATACACATTTACCATCTCTTAAGTCTTTTCTGGTGAGACTTGGGTTTTTAATTTTCTTATAGTTGAGATTTAAGAATTTGAGGTAACAGTCTTCTATCAGTTAAGGTTTTTGTGCAGATAATTTTGACCAGTGTGTGCCTTAGCTGTCTTTCAGTTGTTGCTATTTAAAATCTTAGATCCAGAAAATCAAACTATGAATGAGGTGAGACTTCACAGTCGTCTGGACATGAGTAGCTGTGTTTCAGGGTCCCAACCTTAACTTCCTTGGTTTTTTATTTTCAGGTCAATGTGACTGTGGACTACATTAGAGCAGCCAGCCCAGCCACTGAGACGGTGCCTGCCTTTTCAGAGCGTACCTGTGCCACTGTCACCATTGGAGGAATGTGAGTGCTTACCCAACCGTAACTAAGAGTTCTTTCCTCATTCACATTTCTCCTTCCTTTCACCCTGATTTGCTTTCCGTAGCTCTTAGCACAGTGATTTATGATTGTTGTGTGCCTATGTAGCATTTTATGTTTGCAAAGTACTTTTTAATCACTCACTAGCTAATCATTTACTTCATCATTATTGTTTTTTAAGATTTATTGAGCTCTGTGTACTTGGCACTATGTAGCACACATTATTACTATTAATGCCATTTATTGAGTGTCAATCAGGCCCTAGGTACTATCCAAGTAGTTCAATTACAGATCCATCCCTCCCTCCTCAACCCCTCCTCCCCCCAAAAAAAAGAGAAAAACAACACCCCACAAACAACGGAAGGAAAACGAAGTGAGGTTAATTGGACATTTTCTTTGTGTAGATGTATGTAATCAGTAGATGACAGGGTCTTCCCTTATACTGTGCTGGCTGTCCCCTGGTTATATTCCACAGTCTCTTGAGAGCTTGATTGATGAATAGTCTATGGAGGGAGGTATCTGATGGGGGAAGGAGGAAGCCTGCTGGGCCTTGCTTCCACAATAAATATTAAAACAGTCAGTTCCTAGTAGCAATTCTTCCTCTACATAAAATATACCAGCATGGTAATTGTTTCCTTCTCTATTTAACAATCTTAAGTGCTGTTTGTTACCAAACTGGTATTTTTCTTTTAAAGGGAGCATGATGGAAGGGAAGACAAGAATAGGTTTCTCATTAAAGCAGGAATTGTCTTACTGAAAGCACAATAAAACCCGTTAGGAGAAACACCTTCCCTCCAGCAAGCATCTGAAAGGAAAGAGGATCTTGCAGCTAATTTACCTTCCAGAAGCTCTCCCACCAAACAGGAACCTTTCCCTTCACTCGTGCTACCACATTTGGAAATAAGTATTTTTAGCCACTGTTGCCACTCCTATAACAATCTGAGGCTTCCTTTTTGCTGAGAGGAACTTAATATAGGCTTTTGATGTCATTACCTCAACACCATCACAGATATCATGCTTGTTACAAACAGCTTCGTGACAAATTAGGTAATAATTTTGAAATGGAAGAATATAGGCAATATTGTCACCATCCTTCTATCTGTATTACTAGAAATATTTATTATCAAGTCATTATCACTTCTTAGGAGCTTGATGCAAGCTACTCTACTATGGAGAGCTGGAATGTTAATATTCCCTATATTAAAATTTTTCTGTCACAAATAAGGAATTCTTTCCGCAGATAACTGCTCCTCATACTTACTGGTTAAAACAACATCACCACTGTAAAAATGCACATCTTTATTTTTGGCAGATGGCGTTCTCCCCTGTTTATCTAACAATCTTTTAGGGTAGATTTTTTTTTCATTTAGTTACCGCCGAGGTATACTTTTAAAGTAAATTTACACTGCTTAAAATTAGGTATTCTGGGAGTGTTCTTTTGTTGTTGCTTTTTTTTTTTTTTTTCTTTCAGTTTTGTTTTCTTTTTCTCTGGGCGTGTTCTATAAGGATTTTTTAAAGACAATTTGAAACAACTGGTTTAAAATTTTTTACAACGTAGGTGTCCTAGCCATGCCTATGCCCATGCCATGAAACCTTGAGGTTTCAACTGCATTGATCCTTCAGGCTAGCCTGCCTTTCTGCAGAGGTTGGCTAACTATGTCCAGCCAATGTTCTTGGTAAGAAGATGCTTTTAATCAGTTTAGTCAGTTAACATCACAGTTGATTAGTCATAATTGACAACATCTTGTGTGCATCTGTACTTAAGGTTCCTGCCAAGAATGGTAACCTTGACCTTCTACTTCTTGGTTCTTCTAGTTAGATTATAAGTAATGTATTTTTTTTTTTTTTTAATGATTTACCTTGAATTAGACCAGTCTGGCAGGGTACCCGAGAAGCATAGAGTTCCCTCTTAGGTTTGTTTTTACTAGACTAGACTCTGGAGTAAACTACTCAGTTAAATTTGGGAGAAATAGGAAATTTAGTGATATTGTTGAGACCAGTGCTCACTAGACATTAAGTTCCTTAAAGATAGTGGTTTTTTCTTTTTTATTCCTTGTTGTAGTCTCAGTATTCAGCGTAAGATGATGATTTGTGTACTGTATTGCAAAGTGTCCCTTTATGAAGCATAACAGAGAGTACTCAGAGGTTTCTTTTTCTTTCTTAAACTTTTTTTTTTTTTTTTTTTTTTTTTTTTAGTTACTGGTTTGTTTTTAATTGATCAATATTGAAAACTTATTTCTGATAGTTTTCCTCTTTTGTTTGATTATTGGAAGCTCAGTGCCCAAAATCGTACATGTCTAGAAAGTGTACCTGGAAGCATGCCTCTGTATTCCAATCTTACTCCTGACTTCTCTTTCCTTTCCCTTTGCCTTGATCTTGTTTACCTTTTTTTCTTCTGATTTTTCTATAAACAATTCCTAATAGCGTAGAAGAGTTGAGGTGATGTATTTAATAAAAATGTCCGAATACTTGGCTTATATTCAGAATTTAGGTATACTGGAAGCATTCCATCTGACTTTAATGCTTAGTTGTTTAAAAACATTGGCTAGAGAAGCGGATTTAATTTTTTTATTTCAAATATTTTAATTTAATTTTAAACACAGAAACAGGCATATATTTCCAAATCTTTGATGTATGGGCATCATGATCTGTGATATTCTGGTGAGCTGCATAACTTCCTCTTTGGTGTGAGGACTTAGAAACTCTAATCATGGAACCCTAGATTTTTGTGATATATGCCTTCCCCTTCTATTATAGTTGGCCAGCTCATATTTATTTTGCAGTCATTTTTTTTATTAAACCTTTTTAAAGTTTTCATCTCTTTTTATAGACATACTTTTGTATTTATATTTAATTATTAATGTAGCATTAATAAATTACATGATTAAAATAACAAGCACAACCAGTATATATAAATATGGAGTCAGAAACAACTGACCCAACAGACTGGAACACAATTCCAGACTGGAACACAGGTGTGCCATAGTGGCCCTCAGTCACTCTAATGTCACCAGCCAGTAGATTTAGTGAGTTACAGAAAGACCAGGTCAGTTAAGGGAAGGTTAGTTAAGAGAGCTTTTGTAGTAAGGCATTGCCTCTTTCAAAGACAGGCTTTGTCCATGCTCATAGAAACGCTGTGGAATTAAGAAGCAAGCCAATCTAAATTATGTCTGTCATCATCTGTGGGCTTGCCCACCTACATATAGGCCTTTGTAGATCCAGTGGCTTTCCTGTTATTTGTGAGATCAGCTGGTAATCTCTGACTCTGGACGAGTTTCCCTCAAGCTGCTGATTCCAGGAAAATGAGGAAGACGAAGCAGCTGAGACTCTTAACAGGTTATTTCAAAGCAAATTTTTAAATATATTTTAGTGTGCAAGTGTGTGAGCTGCCTATATCCTCCATAGGGTTCAGTCTGATTCTTCTGTTTTTCCTCTTGATGTTTGGGAGGGATTCTGGTGTGACACAGTCTTCAACTCCCCATCTTTTACCCTCTGGGGAATCAATGAAAATGAGGTTCAGCATTCCTCTACTAGATTAAATTAAAAAAAAAAAAAACACAACAACTTCACTGTGAAGTTGGCAAGAGTTGTTATTTGCTAATCAAAAACAGTTTAAACAAAAAAGTAAAAAGATCAAACTTTGAGTTGTTTCTCTTTCTCTGGCTCCCAGGTTGGGAATTAGCTGATCCTTTTATGCCGTTTGTGACATGAAGCTGTCAAGATGGCACTTGCTGTTAATTACTTTTTATTGTATTTAAGACACTTAAATAACTCTTCTTTTGATTTAGTCTTCCATGTAATTAGCTCCAGTGATTAAAATCTCTTTCTTTCGTTATTGCCAGTGCCTTCTTGAAGAGTGAGATTTTTCTGGGGTGACCTTTACTTGTGCTGGACTTTTCCATTATTTTGAGATCCAATTTTGCAAACCTACATAATCTATTAACTGGTCGCTCATGTCTTTCTGCATATTACATTTGCAAAGAAAAGTGTTAAAGAAAATTTGTTCACATTTATAAAGGGGCACCTTAACTTAGTGCCAAGCCTCACACATGCACACTTATAATTAGCACCACCCCAACCCCTATTCCTGGAAAATTGTCACACACCCAGTAGATATAGTGTCACTAAAGTATTTCCCTAGTGTTTCCCATTATGTGAAGCATTTCACAATAGCAGGAGATAATGGCCCATTTTCAAAAAGTGAATGCTAGAATGGAACTATGGAGTAGGCACAATTAGGAAATGCCATTTATTTTCTGCACCAGGTCACATTTTTTAAGTGGTGATTTGTTTTTTGTAGTAGTGCTATTGGAAACATTATTTCAATCTACTGGTCTCCTGCATTGCCCATCTCTGTTCCCCTTCTCCCTCTCTCCCCGTTATCCATGAAAAGCCACTGATTGCAGTTCCCCTTGAGGCTGCTTCAAGTTTAGGGCTTTGCTAGCAGAGATGTTGTCAGAGCTCTACTGCGCTTAGACATCTTAGTTCCCTCTTTGTTTAAGGGTTGACTTCCAGCAGGCTCAAAGCCAACTTTATGAGCTTCCTTTGTGTCTCTTTGGGTGCTTCATAGATAGAGCTTGTCTTTATTATCCTATATAATAAAAGCCTAATATGCTAAGTGTCCAGTCCTCTGGTTGGCCATTCAACCAATCAAACCATAATATGCTAATGATATGCTAAGGCTACTCAGTTGCTCACTATAACCTGCACTGACCACTGGGGGGCAGACTGGTTGACCAGTTGCTATGACGTGCACTGACTACCAGGGGGCAGACACTCCAACCAGTAAGTTAGTTTGCTGGTGGCATCCGGCCAATCGGGACTGAGATTGGCTGGACATGCCCTGGAGCCCTCCCGCTGACCCTCCCCTATTGGTCTACCTCCCGCATCCCTCTCCGGCCCTGATCATCCACCAGTGGATTTCCTAATCCTGGCCTGCGCCCTCTTGCAATCCAGGCTGAGGGACACCCCCACCCTCCAATGCA